GGAGTAATTTAGAATAAAAAAAAAAGGGAAACCCGTAGCCTGTTGCACCAAGAATAATCATTGTAATCCATGGAATATAACTATAAATCTCATTATATTATTACAAATATATATTTTTCATATAATTTTTATATCAATATCTTCCCGCCGAAAAAAACGAATATTTTTTTTTTCTTTCAATACTTTTCTGATTGGGTTATTGCGTGTCGTTGAACTATAATTACATAATGAGTATTGTCCGCAGCTCTCGTGTTTTTTTTTTTTTTTTTTTTTTTTTTTTTTTTTTTTTTTTTTTTTTTTTCTTGTGAATTCCACTCTTCTCGAAACTTCATGAAACTATTTCTTTTGTCAATGATTGTCTCCTAGCCAGCACCATCATCACCAATACCGTTATTATCACTGTTAACTAGCATTTCAAAATCACTTATCACTGATATAATTCATGACTCGCAAACTACAAACGAACACAAACACACGATAGCAAACTGAATCCGACTAACAAGCGCAAACAAGCACTCGAACACACACGCAAACAAATAGGCACACAAACAAACATAAACAAATAAGCAAATAAACGAAAAAACTAACAAGCTAAAACAAACAAACATACAAACAAACAAAGACAAGCAAACAAACAAATAAATCACAAACGCAAATAAATAAACAAAAAACAAACAAACAAACACGAACACAAGAGCCAAGGTCAAAAGGGCGTCGTAGTTAAGCCGAGAGGAGGGGGGAGGGGGGGAGAGGGAGGGGATGATGAAGATGAGTGAATGGGTAGAAGGAGGGGGGGTAGGAGAGGAGGCAGATGGGGAAGAGGGGGGAGGAGGGAGAGGGAGAGAGAGAGAGAGAGAGAGAGAAGAGAAGAGAGAGAGAGAGAGAGAGAGAGAGAGAGAGAGAGAGAGAGAGAGAGAGAGAGAGAGAGAGAGAGAGAGAGAGAGAAGGCGAGGGGAGAGGGAGAATAAGGAATAGGGTAACTAGAAGAAGATGAAAAATAAGTGAAGAGGAGAGACGAAAAGAGAGAAAATAATTGGGTTTAAATGCTAGAGAGGGAGGGGAAGGGGGGGGGTTAAACAGAGGAAGAGGGAAGGGAAAACAGAGAAAAAAGAGGAGGAAAGAAGGAAAGAAAGGAAATAAGAAAGATAAAGCGAAGGAATGAATGAGGGAAAAGAAGAAAGAGAAGGAGGAAAGAGAAGTAGAAAAAGAATAGAAAAGAGAAACACGAAGATAGAAGATAAGTGAAATTGGAAGATGAACGGATAATAGTAGAGAGAAGAGAAGGGACTGGAAGGTAAAGGAGAGAAATTAAGATCAAGGAGGTAGGGAGAAGGGAGAGGGGAGAAGGAAAAGGAAGATATGATAAAAAGGAAGAGAAGGGTGCACAGAGAAGATGAGGTGTAAACAGATAAGTAAGACAAATACGGAGATACTGACCATGAAAATACCTAACGCACACACGCGCGCACGTACGGAAGCAAGCAAACATGCGCGCACACACACACACACACACACACACACACACACACACACACACACACACACACACACACACACACACACACACACACACACATACACACACATACACACACACGCAGGTTATTAACACAGGCCGGTGACTGTAGCGTCTTGAACATACCAACCAACGACCATATGTTCATCTGTTCCTCACGTGTTCTCCAGTCACGGGAAGAGTGGACGAGAGAAAGTGGATTTGTGGATTCGTGTGGATAGATGGAGGTGATGGAGAACATGCTTTGGTGGTGAGATGATAGGGGGAAAAGGAGGGGGGGGGGAGAGTGGGAGGAAGATGGAGGAAAGGGAGGAGGAGGAAGGGTGTAAGAGAGAGGGGAGGAGGGAGAGAGGAAGGGAAAAGGGAGGGAAAGGAGGGAGAAAGGAAGGGAAAGGGAAGGAAAGGACGATGAGAGGCAGATGGAGGGGGATGGGAGGGAGGGAGGAAGGGGAGGGAGGGAATTGCCAAGAGGAAGTTAGTTATAGGAGGAGGAAGAGGAGGGAGAGAAGGATGAGGGGTAGAAGGAGGAAAAGGAGGAAGAGGAGGAAAAAGAGGAGTAGGAGTAGGAATAGAAGTAGGAGAAGTAGTAGTAGTAGGAGGAGGAGCAAAAGGAGGAGGAGTAGGTATACTACCTTCTACAAGGACACAAAAGTAAGCGAAAAACTGCAGTACAACACTTCACTCCTCCTCCTCCTCTTTTCCCGCCTCCTAGTCCTAATCTTCCTCCTCCTCCTCCTCCTTCTCCTTCTTCTTCTTCTTCTTCTTCTTCTTCTTCTTCTTCTCCTCCTCCTCCTCCTCCTCCTCCTCTTTCTCCTCTACTTTCTACTCCTCTAGATTCAATACATTGACTACCCATATATACATTATCCCAAAAAAGGATAAAAAAAACAAAAAACATACCCCTTTTGAGGAAATATTAAAACAAACACAACAAAAAACTCGCAATAAATATAACAAAAAACAAACAAAATGCAAAAAAAAGAAAAGGTAAAATGAAAATAAAATCACACCCATTCACTCAAAGTCATTCACAATATGATTCCACGTGTCATGCAACATATCAGTCAATCACAGAACTGACATTCATGCATGGGTCATTCGGTCATTCACGATTTTTAAAGCTTTATCAAACTGATTTCTGATTTATTGTCACTATTATTATTAATATCATTATTATTATCATTATTATTATTATTATTATTATTATTATTATTATTATTATTATTATTATTAAAAATATTCTATTTGTATCTGTGTTTGTATTACTAATGTTTCTCAATGCTGGTATGTATTCACGCTCTGGGAAATATATTGATGCGTATGTATGTTTGCTGTAATACCATGCGCACTTGTAGTCTGTACGAAGATATATATATATATATATAGATAAAAAAAAAATTGATAGAGGCAATTCAATATTATTAAATTAATAAATGTACACTGAGGTAAAGTTTTTTTTTTTTTTTTTAATTCCAGCGAAGAGAGGAAACGATTTATGTTGAAATTAGGAACGCGAAATAGAAGCGATGAGATGAACAAAGCCATAGGACTGTACCACGGCACAGCTGAACGATAAAAAAAAACGGGCAATAAAAACAACCACCATATATGTCGAATTCGAGTGGGACAACAACAACAAAACACACAAAAACAAGAGAGAAAAAAACACGCCTGTTGTGATAAAAAGTAATATTCCAATTATCTCTCTTCCCTCTTCCTCTCCCCTTCTCCCTCTTGCTCCTCCTCCTTCTCCCTCGCCTCTAACTCCCTCTCTCCATCGGCAACCTCCCCATACCCACCTGGCTTTACCCACCTCTTGCCCTAACCCATACGCCCATCTTTACCTACTCCCTTACCCCCACCCGTAATCTTATCCTATTCCTTTCTCCCTTTCCCTCCCGTTCTCCTCTTCGTCCTTTCCCTTTCCCTCCCCCTCCTGACCCCCCTCCCTCCCATCCTTCCCCCTTTGTCCCTTCTTACCCTTTCACCCTCCATCCTGGCCTCCCTCCCTCCTGTTTCACCCACCCGATCCTGGCCTCCCTCCCCTCCCTCCTCATTTACGCTCCATCCTACCCTCCGCTTCCCCCAACCTACTCTCCCACCCCTCTCTCCCCTTTCACCTCCCCACCCTACCCCCTCCCTCCCACCCCCTTTCACCCCCCCCCTCCCCTCCATAGCTCATCTCAGGGTCCGTAACCATCGTGGCTTACGTAACAGCGCGCAGAGAAGGTCATCGTGTTCGGCCACGTGACCTCGGCTTGGCTGTGTCGCACTAGAGGAAGACTGGGCCGAGGTACAGACTGTTTCTGTCTGTCTCTCTCTTCCTTTTTTTTTTGTCTTTATTTTCGTTTTCATTTCTTTGTTTTTACGTTTTTGTTTTGTCTTTCTTTGTTGTCTGTCTGACTCTGTCTCCTTTTTTCTTTTCTCTTTTTTTTTGTCTTTCTCTAATACTTTTTCTTTCTTCCTCTCTCTCTCTCTCTTTCTCTCGTTCATTGCATAATTTCTTCATTTCGAATATTCTAAATGATCGTCTGTCTTATTACTTTATTCTTCTCTTTGGTTCTTTTAACGCACTCTTCTCCTGCTATTTTTTATTAACATCACCAATATCAATATCAAATCTTGATGATTGTTTGTTGGTTGGTTCCATCCGTGACATGATGTGAACCACTTTTTGAACGGATAGGATTCGATTCACAAACAAATAAACGCAGACATGCAACACACACACACACACACCTGCGCACACACACACACACACACACATACATGCGCGCGCGCACACACACACACACACACACACACACACACACACACACACACACACACACACACACACACACACACGTGCGCACACACACACACACACACACATACATGCGCGCGCGCACACACACACACACACACACACACACACACACACACACACACACACACACACACACACACACACACACACACACACACACGCGCACACACATACACACACACGCACACGCATACGCATACACACGCACGCACACACACACACACACACACACACACACACACACACACACACACACACACACACACACACACACACACACACATATACACACGCACGCACACACACCCGCGCGCATATATAAACGTATATGTATATACTTATACATATATTTACATATCTAAACACACACATATATATGTGCACTCACACACACATGGTGTAGCTGCAAATGCAAAACAGATTCATGCAAAAAAATTGCAATACATATTCACATACAAATTCCACGAGCACCACTTGGGCGTGTTCATCTTCTCATATATATATATATATATATATATATATATATATATATATATATATATATATATGTATATATATATGTATATATATATATGTATATGGAATACACTTTATACTTTCTGTCACAGCTTCACTAGTCACAAAATCAACCAAGATCATATTAATAATAATAATTTTTAAAAAGTATTCGCTCACCAGGAACTTCATGTTGTTACTACGGAGTA